CTTCACATTTTGGTCCGACCCACTTTTTGCTCTATTTTTTTTTATCAGACACTTTGCTCTAATTAATCTTGTCTGTGTGCCTGAACTCACAGGTGAGTGCCACAGTGCCATCCATCCTCCTGAGCACAAACCTCTCCACCAGCAAATAGCACCCAAACATGCTCCAGGAAATGAATGAAGAAAAATCACATAAAACAGAAAAGGAAGAGAAAGGAAAAAACTAGAACAAAAGAAAGAAAATGAAAAAAAAAAGATGAAAACGCAGGCCTGGCCCTCAAGGCGTGAGTGTGGCTGTGTGCGTCCCACTGGGTCCCCGTCTAGCCTCTAGTGCACCATGCTCTCTACCCGTGTACTATGGCCATGTGGTCCAATGCCAGCCCATCAAGAGGACGCTCGCTTGTTTAATCACGTCCGACTGGTGGTGATTCCTGGGTACCGTAGGATTCATTTACCATTATTGTTTTTTATTTCTGACAAGATCATTGTTTACTCAGAGAAAAAAATAGATATTGATCTTTTTTGGGAGAAAAAATATTGATCTGACGTAAAGATGATCAAGAGCTATATCCTGGGCCGCAGACCACTTATTATTTTCAGCCCTTCCAACGATTATGGATCTACCGGATGAGGCTTAGAACATCCGGGCTATATTCATCTGTGGGCCCGAAATATTTAAGTTTTCAAGCTGATGGGCGTCGCTACGACGGTTACTAATAACGCAAAGTTATTGCGCTGCCAGTCGCGCTACTCGCGTAGCGCGCGACCTCCGCAGTATTTGACCGGTGGCCTGACCTGCCATTCCGATACATGTGTGGGTCAGCCCATGTAAAATAAACATAAAAGCTCCAATGGGTTTGCTTCAAATGCATGAGCTTGAAAGTCATATGCCTTACATGAACACGAATGTTGTTGTGCGGCCTGGCCCAGTTTTTTTTTCCTTTAGTTTTATTATTCTTTTATTTTTTTATCCTTCTTTATTTACCTTTTCTTTTAATTTCTTTTCATTTTTCTTTTTTTTGGTTTTCATTATATATTTGTCAATTTCAATTTTATCTTCTTGTTATCAATTTTAGTTTTATTTCTATGTTTCATTTTTTTCAGTTTCAGTCTTGTTTTTTAGTGTTTGTTTAGTTTCAGTTTTCAGTCAAATTTCTTTTTAATGTTTTTTAGTTTCAGTTTTCAGTCCAGTTTTTTTAATATTTTTTTCAGTTTCAATTTTCGGTCACCTTTTTTTTAAGGCTCGAATGCTTTCCTAAATCCTGCATATTAGTTGCCTCACCTACAAATATGAGTTGTCACATAAGGTAGCAATTGCACATAAAATTGCCATAAAAAACACATACACACAAGGTAGATTGGGTTGGGATTAGGAAATTGCATAACAAGTATTAGGATTACAGGTTGCGGCGGTATCAGAATTAGGGTATAAATTGGGTTGTAGAATAACTTGGCCCGAGTTGGCAGCAATGTTTTATGCTTATTATAATAATTTGTCCCTCAAGTTGAGGTACTACATGGTAGCAACTTTAGTACTACATGGTAGTAAAACTCCGTTTAATATTTTGCTCCCAAGCTTGTGCATATTATGTGACAACTTTACTGTATTTTGAGTAGTAACTTTAATATTACATGGTAGTAATTCATTTAATAAATCTCTGCTTAAACGTGTTGCACATAAATTGCTACTAAAATAAAATCCTTGAAACATATGCAAGTTTTTTCTCTCTGACCCTTTGACCGTCGTGGGTTAACCTAGTCCTGCTAATAATGTGCCCTGTTTTACTACCTTGGCATTTATCCTATACCTCATCATCTATCTAGAAATTGACATTAGAATTTTAGCTCCGTACTGAACAAGTGCTCACAACTGAATTATTTTTTTTCTGTTTCCCACTGTTTTGGTAGGAGAAACGATGAATCCAGAGGTCCCAGTTTATTGATTAGCTTTATATATTATTTATTTATTAGTAAATATGCCTCATTTACACTTGGAGGAAAAAACTACATGAACGAAAATGAAGACACGAGTGTTACATACCTAATTATTTATATTTTGTTATTTCAATAAAATTTTAAACTATAATTTATTTTATGATGGATTCATAGTGTAAGTTAACATTGGTATCACAATATCCTGTTAAATCTATATTAAATTAAAATAAAATCTTGATAGCTTTTTTCTGCCATCGAGAGGCATAAAAATATTTACTCCATGGGCGGACAGAACCCAGAAGCAAATCGCACGGCCACCTCCACCGCTCTGCGTGCCAGCCTCGCTCGTGGCGTCGCTGTTTCGAGCTCCGACCTCAGCTCCTCCTGCACCTCTGCGCTGGCCTCTCTCTACCTCGGCTTCGACCACACTATGTCTCTCGCCCCATGTCGCCATTGCTCGGCCACATCTCTGAGCCACCCTCGGCCTCGTTTCTGCGCCGCCGGCTCCTGCTCTGAACCACCGTTGGCTGGCTTTAGCTTCTCCCTGAACAGCTCTTCTCCTCCGGCGCGCATTCAAGTGCCGCCCTCCGCTCTTGGCTCGCTTGTAGCTCGGTGACCGGCCTCGGTCCCCGCCACTCCTCCACCGCAGCCCCGCCTCCCTCTTCTTCTGGCCAGCCTCCAACCGCCGCCCCTCCCCTCCGGCGCGCTGCCAACCGGCCTCCAGCGGCCGAGATGCCAGTCCAATTGTCGCTCCTGTGTGCATAGCACCACGCCCGCAGTCTCTCTTGCTATGATAGCATGAATCTATACTTTACTTTTCAAGTTTTAATCTGATTACTGCAATTTTTATATACATGTTAAGTTGACACTCTACTATTTATTGTAGCTTTTATTTAAATTTCTTGGTTTTATCATAGTAATAAAAAGATTATAGATCGTAGGTTACCTTCTTGTTTCTTACAATAGCGTTAATAGTCCATCACTTTGCACCGTCACACTCAACATATTGAATTTCTTGTATAATAGATTTATATGCATTGTTTAATAAACCGTGAGTGCTTATAATCAAAATACCAACACTACAACAAATAATGATTTTAGGATGCATGCCATTTTATTTCCAGAGGAGGACAAAATTTTGGTGTCTCCGAAATCTCTAATGCATTATAGAGATATCCAACCAATTTTAGGAGGCACTCCAATAAAACCTGTTCTGTAAATCGATTAATAGAGGTTGGCCTCTTAAGGAAAAAATTGAAGGACCATCCCTACCACGACATCCGTCTGCAGATGTATGTATTGACGCGTGGCCCATGGAGCAACTAATTCACCATGTATGCGTTTTAAATGATATTGTGGCCCTGAATTCATTGCACTGATCGTCACCACGTCCTGGTATGAAAGGTCCGCACCCAATTTTTTCCCTCTTAAGAGGTCTACCTCTTTGTCCTCACCCAATTTTCCCCTCTTAAGAGGTCTACCTCTTTGTCCTCACCCAATTTTTTTCCCTCTTAAGATGTCTACCTCTTTAGAGGTAACACATCTCAGCCTGATATCGAGTTGAGAGCATGTAATGCAAGCAAACCCTAGCGTCCATCTTGGGATCTCTGGTCTCCATCTAACTCTAACGGTTTGAAAATTATCAGGCTCTCTGGTCTACTTCCCTCCCTCAAAGATTTAAAGATGGCGCTAGGCGGCGTGGTGGCCCTAAGGCCCGTCTCTCGATCTGATGGATGGCGGCATCTTCCGCACCACCACCATCGCATGGCATCTTCAACTCTTGTGGCGGTGTCTCTCCTCCTCCTGCGGCAACATTGACTCCAAGATCTTCGGCGTGCTCCCCTCGCCCTTAGATCTGCAGCATGCTTCTCTAAGGAACTCATTCCCAGTAGCGCTCTTCTACTCGTTCTCTCTCTCTCTCTCCATCTCCCTCTCCTCTCTCTTCCTCTCAAGCAGCCTATGAGGCATTAGCTTCTAGATCGGTGTGGCTCCAGCAGTAGGGAGCAGGTTGAGGCCAGGCGGGTGGTGGCATGGCGAGCACGACGGGTGTGTGTACGCAGAGGTCCCTGATCTAGCAAGATCCGGCCAAGGGAGATCTTTGAGTAGAGTGCCCTAGCCTTGATTTGTCGTAGGAGGAGGAGGAGGAGGCGATGGCTCAGACCATAGTGGCGAGGCTCATAGTGGTTGGCTTAGCGGTGCACTCAGCTCCAGCCCCATTGTTTTCCCGGATTAACATAAAAAGCGCACCTAAGGTGCTGGGAGCCCCAGAGCCTCAATGGCCGGGGCATTTCTTCAGCGCCGGGCCTTGGCTGGCATCATCGTAGGGCAGGCGGAGGAGCCAAGGGTCGGCTCGGCGTGTTGTTGATTGGGAGCCCGAGGCTCGGGAGCCCCCGAGCCTTGGCGGAGGCCGTGGCGTGCTCGAGCTCGGCCGGGTTTCTTGAGTCCGAGGTGCTGAGCGAACGCATTCGATGGATATAGCCCGAGCCCCTGGTGATCCTAGAGGGCCGGTCAGGGGTCTCTTCGTCGAGAACCATTGATCCCGATGCTTAACATACACATATGTTAGGATCTGGTCACATGGGTTGATGGACTAGTACATCTGAATTATATTCTAGCTGAATGTGGTGCTGGTCTAGACTGCAGCTCGAAGAGATTCCTGCACCGCTTTTTTTTTGGGGTGGGGGAACTGATTCCGCATGCACCGTTGTCAATCTGTTTCATCACCCCATGATGGGGTCGATCTTCACCGCCATGATGTGGTCGATCTGCACTCCAATTACTGGGATGCAATGCTGCTGCATCCTCTGAATTCTGAGCCAAGTCCAACTAACCAGCACATTTGTTGGCGCCTAATGAGAGGACCAAATTTCTCTTGTTTCAACAGCTAGATTGCGTCAGGTACCCAATTTGGTAGTTCACATGTAGAATTGTATAGTTCACATATCAAACATACAATGTTTTCTGAATATGTCGAATTCTACAATACAGCAAAGTAAGACAAATTATTGCACCCTTCTCATACAGAAAATAAAAGTATATAGTACAATTCCTTGAATAGCCAAATAGCGCTAGAAAGTAGAGAACGTGATCTGACCAAGCATGCTTGCACTATTGCTTTCTTCATCAGGGTAGTTGCTTGCACATTTATCCAGTAGTTTGGCTGCTTTGCTCAATTCATTCACGACCTCAGCCATTGTCGGTCTCTCGTCGACATCATACTTAAGACTTTGAATCGCCAGAGCACCTATCTTGTCAAGGCACTCTATGCAATATTGACATTGAGCACCGTCATGAGATAAAATGTTTCTGTCACATCTCCTTCCATTGCCCTTCTGCTTAAAAACATGGAAAAGTCCATGGGGAGGCTATTGGTGTTATCTTGGCCATAGTTGACCGTCTTCCGGGTGATCAACTCAAGAAGAACAATTGAAAAGCTATAGACATCACTCTTCGCCACAAAACGATGTGTCTTCATATACACTGGGTCTATATAACTTATATCTGCGGCCACAGCCCTGGCATACATACCAACTGACAAAGCTTGGACGATCCAAAGTCAGAGACCTTGGGCATCAGGTTGTCATCCAGGAGGATGTTGGCAGATTTGACATCACCGTGGATGCGGTCCTGGTCACCGTGTGAGTGCATATAAGCAAGAGCTTCTGCAGAGCCAATGGCAATGTTGAGTCGAGTCCACAGCGGGAGCACCTTATCCCTATTGACATGAAGCAGGTTGTAGAGGCTCCCATTACTGATATGCTCGTAGACCAGGACAGGAATATTTGTCTCTAAGCAACACCCAACAAGGCGAACCATATTTGGGTGGCTGATTCGGAACTGGAAGGTGATCTCATTGACAAAGTCATCCCCTTGCTGAACTGGACCTCGACCTCCTTTGTTGTCTTCGTCATTAGATCGTTTAACTGCAACTCGCTGCTTGTCGTCGATTGTTCCTTAAGAATACGGTGCCGAAGGCACCTTTTCCGATGCGTGGGTACTGTAGTTGTTAGTTATTTTCTTCAGCTGAACTTCTGTGAATATTATGATGGCAGCTGCTTCCTTCAGTATAATACCCCCGTTTTTGTCGAAGCATGCTATCTTTATTCGCCGCTTCCTATCCTTGTAGATGAACCAGAGCAGGAGTGCCAGACAAGAGCTTGCGACCAGTGTTGCTGCAAACACGTACAGGTGCATCCACACATTTAATGGCGATAGTTGTATGCGACATTAGAATCCTACTGCATTAAATTAATTTCAATTTGCATGCTAATGCATGCCATGCGTCTATGATTTTCGTGTGTAAACTGCACAGTAAGGCAACACTCTTACAATCTTCTTAGTATATATACATCATGCTTTCATATATAATCATGCTTTCTGGAGAAAATTCTAACCATGCCTGTTCTGCAACCAAGAAAATTCTACTACAGTTTTCGACTGTGAACCTTACAAATTTTTTTGAAGGAATTTGTTTGATTACAGACAATGTTTACACCTTGTAGAAAAGAATATATTAATTAGTAGAATCTGAATGAACCAAAAAAATGATGGACCATACAAAATGAGAAATCCATGATACTTTTGATATACCACTCCCTCCATCCCAAAATAAATCAATTTATATAATTTATCTATGTCGCAAGATCCAAAAGTTAGACCAAATGAGCATAAGTATTTATGGCATAAAATTTATGTACATTGTGGAATATAAATTCATGATGTATTCATTTAGGGTCATAAATGTTGTTATTTATTTCTATAAAATTGGTCAAACTTAAGATAATTTGACTTAGGATAGCCTCTAGAAGTTAATTTACTGTGGGATGGAGGAGGACTACTATTAGAAAATTCAATGATCATATGAGTGATTAAAATTCAAACATCGTTTGAGTGATTTCTCTGCTCACCTAATATTGCAGCAGCAGGGGCGGGAAATATGGGACGACAATCCTTTCCTCTCCGACCGAGTTTGCATCGACACTTGTAGCTACCTTCTGTGTCAATGCATTCGCTGCCACTTGGACAAGAATTCAATTCTGGATGTTCGCATTCATTGACATCTGTATATGTATAATTGGTGAATATGAATGCATTATGACTAGACTTACTGTATAATAGAAGTTTTTGTAGTATTTGCTGCAGCATTGTTCAAAATTTTGTAATGTAATAAACTCCTCCCGACTTGAGTACTAGCTATATAATTTTGTAATGTAATAAACTCCTCCCGACTTGAGTACTAGCTATAGCTAGAATATATCTTTAACTTTGAACTTTCGAGATAATAAATTAGATGTGTTATTAATTTGAACATCAAGATTTCAAGTAAGAACCTTTTAAGTAGCAATTTCCTTTGAAACTGTATTGTATTCCCTCAGTTCTAGAATGATAAGTGTATTTTGTATGGAGAAAAGTCAAATTTTGGGTACCTAGAACAAAAATTAGTCGGATTATATATAAATTTAGAGCATAAAATTAGCATTATTACATCTTTATTCAAAGTACCTCTGATATGATACTTATATTTTAGCAAATGATAAAATATTACAATAGAAATTTTAGCTGGTTATCTATTCCATATGGCTTCTCCCAAATCAAAATATGCTTATTATTCTGGGTCAAATGGATAATCCTATTCAAAGTCACCACTGCTACATAAACAATTTGTGGAGATGGCTAAATTAATTTTAGAGATGATGTTTACAACTATCTCTTGGCAAGCATTTGTGGAAATAAGAAGTTTCGACCCATCATGGTTTTAATTAATATTTGGGCCACTAAATGTTCCGTGAAGGCAAAGTTATCAACTACAAACTTATGATCCAAAATGGCAAAGGTGTGACATACAAATTTGTTGATGTCTACGAGGACTACAAAATTTTTATAGAGCATGTCTCTGTTCAAGGCAGTTCGAAAACTCCAAAATTTTTATTGAGATTTGGAGAAATTGTAATGAATGTTTAGGCACCTGACACTAGTAGAGAACAGGCCTTTGATCCTCGGCCAAAATGGCCTCTAGTCCCGGAATTTTTGCGCCGGGATTAGAAATACCTTTAGTCGGTTGGTGTCTCAATCGGGACTAAAATCCCGCCCTAACGGACTCTTGCGCCCAGCAGAGGTGGCAGGGACCTTTAGTCCCGGTTGGAGCCACCAATCGGGACTAAAGGTATACTACTCGGTTGGGGGCTCCAACCGAGAGTAAAGGTCTACTCCCGGGCCATGGCTGCGCCCGGGGTTGGAAAGTTACCTTTAGTCCCGGTTGGAGCCACCAGCCGGAACTAAAGGTCCCCCCTTTATATCCCGGCCGGCTCCTCCTTCCTCCCCGAGCCCGAGCTCAGCACATTTTGAAGCTCACTGCAGTAGTGTTCTTGCTTCCTCCCTCCCTCCATTGTTCCTCCATCCATTATTCGATTCCTCCATCGATTTCTTCGATTTCTCCGTCGATTCTTCAGTTGTAAAGGTTACCAATCTCATACTCTCATTTTTCACCATTGTCTTATCTCATTTTGTTCACTATATATATATATATATGGTTCTTTATTTTGGGTTTTTTCATTTGTAAGCAATTTGAGCTCAAAATCACTTCAAGCTTGCATATTTACATGAAATAAGGTTAAAGTAGCTAGTTGAACTTGCGGACCGTGTTCATCTCGGTGAAACACGTTCTCGCTGAAAGCGATAGCGGACGTTAAGGAGGAGCTTTGATTCTACGAGGGAGAGCGGCAGCGGTCGTGGAAGACCGTGTTCCCTTCCTCATAGAATTGGAGCTCTTCCGGTGGTCAAGTCTGATGCCGTCACTGTGGAGACATGCTCACCGAGATGATCACGTAAGCAAAGGTCAACTAGTACTGGATGGTTATTTATTCACATGTCCTGATATCGCCGCAGATGATCATCAATCACCATACCCAAACGTAGTATATATATAAATATAAACTTAGAAAATAGTTAGAAAATTATAGAAAATCCATACTAGTTGAACTTGCGGACCGTGTTCATCTCGGCGAGCACGTTTCTGCCGAAAGCCGGTAGCGGACGTCAAGGAGGAGCTTTGATTCTACGAGGGAGAGCGCAACGGTCGCGTGGAAGACCGTGTTCCCTTCCTCGTGAGAATTGGAGCTCTTCCGTGGCTAAAATCACGGTGCCTTCCGGTGGAGAATGCTCGCCGAGATGATCACGTAAGCAAGGTCAACTAGTATGGATGGTTATTTATTCACACGTCCCGATATTGTCGCAGTATGATCTCGTTATGTGTGTACACTCCCATTCTTACATTAATTTGCAGAAATATCATGAATTACTTACGCGCGAAGAAAAGCGAGAACACAATGACCATTAAAAATATCATTGTTTAGAGATCTAGATAATTTTATAGTTTCTTAATTTTATTTGTTTATAAAAGGAGAAATATATAGTGTATTAAAAATGAGTATAGAGAGTAGATGTATTTGCCTCGGGTCCTCGGCCTCTCATGGGTTTCCAAAGCGACTTAGGCGGGCCTCCCTCTCATTTCATGCGGCAAGTGTCGTGATGAGACGAAGATTGTGATGGAGTACCGAGTGAAGAAGGAGGGTCCCAACAAGGATCAGATCTTCTACAAGTGTGGGATCGCAATGTGAGTTATTTTATCGTATTTAATGATTATGGTTAGTTTATACCTATTTTCATGATGGTTGTGATTAAAGTTCTAATTTTTTGTTTTTAATTTGAGTGGGATGGCAAAGTGGGATCGATGTTGGGCTTCTCTTTGGGAGGAAGAGTGGGTTGGACTCGTGCAAAATATCTTGCACAACTGTGCGATCTGACGGCTAATAAAGGCGTTGATCCAGTAGAAGAAGCCCAAAGATGTTGCACAATCGGGGATCATGCATTTTAGTTGAGATTGGTCGTGAAATCTCTTCTGCTACATGAAATGTATTTTAGCTTTAGTTCTTTTAGTGGTAGTTGGGATTGTCTACATTTGGTTGATGCTTTCATAAATTTGTATCTTTTGTGGTGGCACGCATGTTGTATAAATAATTAATTATGATCTAGGTTTTAATATGGTATTTATGTCATGTAATGCAGATGAGCGTCATTGGATGTATAATGTTGATCGCGCTCCCAAGAGTTCATTGGCGTGCATTCTTTTATTACGTCTGGCCGAGGCAAACAAACCTTGATGGTTTCAATTCTTGCCCATGTGCCATATGTAAGAATACGGTGGAATATCCTTGCTCAAGGACTCTTCATTCACACTTGTTCAAGTCGGGTTTCATGCCAAACTATATTTGTTGGACAAAGCACGGAGAAACCGGTGTTGTAATGGAAGAAGGTGAAGAAGAACAATGGGACGACAATGATATTATTCCCGATGGTGCGTGCTTCAATGATACTTTGCAATGGGAGAAAAGTGAAGAAGAGGTAGCCCGTGAGAAGATGAGCGGTGATGATCTTTCTCAGGTCATTCGTGGCGCACAAAGAGAATGTGAAAGTGAAAAGGAGAAGATCAAGTTCGGCGGATGCTAGAAGATCAAAGAAATTGTTGTACCCAACTTGTGATGCAGAGAGAAAAGTTAGGAACCACACTAGAATTGCTTTGCAATGGAAGGCAAAGAATGGTGTCTCGACAAGGGATTTGGAGAGTTACTAAAAATTCAAAAGAAGATGCTTCAGAAGGATAATGAATTGCCCGCCACTACCTACAAAGCAAAACAAGTTATACGTCCTATGGGGCTAGAAATAGAGAAGATACATGCATGTCCTAATGACGCATCTGCATGCGTGGCAAAAGTCACGAGAAATTGGATGCATGCCCGGTATGCCATGCGTCATGAAGTATAAGATCGAAGCGAGATGACCACTGGTGATGTTGAGGCGAACGTCAGCGGAAGAAAATCCTGCCAAGGTTATGTGGTATGCTCCTATAATACCACGCTTGAAACGTCTGCTCGAAACAAAGAACATGCAAAATTGTTTGGTGATGGAAACATTGAGAGTGCTTGAGGAGGTTGATATTTGGAAGAAAAATTTGTACTAGGCGAGTCTATACAACCCTCAAGCCTTATCGATCTGGGGATGCAAATGTACTGCTAAACAAGTGGTACATGCAAAGGCGTCTACCGATGGAGACTTCTGCGTTGGTGTCGAATTAGAGACGAACATTGGTTCCGTATGATGATGATATGTGTATGTTGACTTTATGAGAATTTCATCAACTATGTCACTGACCTCTCCGGACAAAGTTATCATTAGTCGCTATTGCTCGTAAGTAATAATTCTTTTCGATCTATTATTAAACTCATCATATGTGTGTATATGCATATAAATTATCCTAACAAGTACTATATATATGCTTGATTTACAATGACAGTAGCGTAGAAAGGAAAGGCCGCAATGAAATTGGTTTTGTTGATCCCCATATAGTATTCAAGACCCAATTACTCCAAAGACTAATTGGAAGTGCGAAATGAGAGTAACCTCATGAACTTCTTAGTGAACCAACGCCACAAGAAGGATATACTCTTTTCCTATAACTTCAAGTGAGTGTTAATCATGTCGATCATATCCTTAATGGCTCATATGTTGATTCTAGTTAATTAATGAGTGTTATGCGTTATATCCTATAAACACATGCGACAATCTTTGGATATTGATGGACATCGATCCGTGAAAAGTCACTTGATAATCTATGACTCGATGAGAAAACCACAACAAGACTACCAAGATATGATAGATATTATCCAGAGGTAATTTCGGGATCTCTAGCAACTATATATACACACAAACATGATGATTAACTATATCGATGCGTGGCAAATTTTTTATTGGGCAGTGTTTGGAAAACCTTTATTAAGAAGCAACACATGGAAAAATGCAAAGCGCCTTGAATGTAATCCTTTGAAAGTAAGTCCCCCGAATCGCATCATCTTTATTAATTAAACATATAGCTTTCACCGGATCACCAGATTGGATGACAAATTTTTTCTCGTAGAAGTGGTGTCTAAAGCGAGAACAGGGGAACAACTACTTGTGGTTACTATGTTTGCAAGTTTATCAAGGTGCTCTCCCAAAGAACTCCTACTGAGAGAGACTCAAAAATGCGTTAAAAATACACTATATATTCATTTAATTATTATTATTGATTGTGTTACTATGTCTTTATATATATATATATGTACATATATTAATTTATTTTTCTTTAATTCAAACCTGTAGACTCGATGGTTGGAGGAAAAGGTCATACGGCAAGACTAAATCAAAGCAATTCAAGAGTGTATAGTTTGGATTTTTAATGAGCAAATCATCGATTCCAAGGAAGCGAGTTCTACTTCGACCCAACAACGCCATTGAAGCCAAGCTAGAGGATGAGATGAAACTTGTTATGTCACAACAAACTTTGTAATGCAATCTTTTGTAATATATGCACATGAAATAATATAATGTAAAATACACATATGCATGCATGCATGTAAATATATATATGATGCATGCATTCATATATATATATATATATATATATATATATATATATATATATATATATATATTTCTATGCTTGAATTGTGTGATTTAATACGTTCATTGTGCTTGAACCGAAACATACTATATCTTGGCGTATAAATGTATAATTAGCAGCGTACAATACGATTTCGAAAACCTATTTTGAAAAAAAAAAAAATGAAAAGAAAAAAAAGAAAAAAACCTTTAGTCTCGGTTCGTATTACTAACCGGGACTAAAAAGTGCCACTTGATATCGTGGCATGTCGAGAGCACCTTTAGTCGGTTGGTGTTACCCACAGGACTAAAGGTCCTCACTAGTTTGATTCACGACCCGGGACTAAAGGACCCCTTTAGTCCCGGATGCTTGCTCCCGGGTGGAGAACCGGGACTAGAGGGGGTTCCCCACAGGGAGTAAAGCTCGGTTCTCTACTAGTGTGAACAATGTCTAATTTAAAAGTTATCTTCTTACAAAGTTAGAGATCTTGTCAGGCTATGTAATTTAGGTACAAAGTTTGTCCTTATCTAACTTCATCATATGTAAAAGTGTTACAAGATGCTTGCAAGGAGGTAGATATTAATTACTAAATTGGTTCCAAATTATAGTTCGTTTGACTTTTTTATCTCAAGTTTGACCACTCGTCTTATTCAAAAATTTGTGCTAAATATCACTTCTTTTGTTGTAGAATTGCTTTATTAACAAAAGTTCTCAAAAATGACTTAAATTTGACTATATTTGCATAAATTTTTAAATAAGACGAACAGTCAAACTTTGAGTCAAAAAGTCAAACGAATTATAATTTAGAACGGAAGAAGTACTTTACCAGTGCATCCTCCACCTCCACCATCGACGTAGGGGTTACCCTCGTAGCCTTTGGTACAGTTGCAGAAGTACCCAGGGCCGTTGGTTGAGTCGACGCACTCGCTGTGGCTGCTACGACAGGCATACCCTGGCTTGCTATATATCTGCCTGAGCGCAGGAGATGGAGCCACTGTCGCTGTCGCGGATCGCCCAGTCGAGGCGGAGCGGCATGCTCCAGTCCACGCGCTGCGGCGTGGTCTGGTTACTCGGCACGTGTGTTGTCAGGTCGGATGCTGAGAAGTTGTAGCTGCCCTTCTCCACGATGAAGGCATAGTCGCAGGGGCAGAACTCCTGGTCGGCGTGCGACCAGTAGCCGTCACCGAACATGCTTATGGTGGTGTCCGTGAGACCTGGCGGGATGTCGACGTGGCAGCAGCCGAGGCCCGCACAGGCACCGTCCTGGGGGTCATCAGTGTCGTTGGTGACGGACACGCATCCGGAGTAGAACTTGTAGTTGAAGCGGCTGGCGCCGCCCTGGTTCTTCACGCCCTTGACATAGATCAAGGTGTTGCAGCCGAGCACGTAGAGCTCGTTGTAGATGTTGGAGATGCGGTACACGCCCGCCTCGTTGAAGTTGACGTTGCCGGGGTAGAACCCAGTTCTGCCGCCGGTGGAGTTGAAGCACTGCCATGCCACCGGCAGGAGCACCCGGGCCTCTGGCAATGGCGCCACGGACAGGCTCAGCACTGGGATGGTCTGGTTGGTCCTCGCTAGCACCGGAATTTCACCGCCGCCGGCACTGCCGTTGTTCATGCAGCGGATCTCGAACCCTTGGCGGAAGCAGGCCTCATCGCCGATGCCGAACGGGTAAGGTATACCCACGCCTCCACAGCTCCGCTGGCAGCCTGGCATCACGGACACGCTGCTGTCGTCTGTGCTGGCAGCCGCCGTTGCTGCAAGGAGCAGCACGAGCAGCAGGAGTGATGGCGACATTATTAACGGCTTAGACAACTTGGAGCGCGCGTATTGCGTTGCCAACGGCCTCTGATTGGTGGCTTTGCATTGCAAGGTAGGTACTTTGCTTTGATTGTGTTGTGTATCACCGGAGGCGAGCCTGCTAGTGTTTAAGTAGATCGAAGAACCAGCAGGTGCGCAGCCAGCCAATGCTCACAGACTCACAGTCAGTCAGTCACACGGAGAGGAAGAAGAAACCCCCATGAATGTTCCCCGCACGCCACAGTCTCCTTCCAATAAGACTTTTGGTACATTTTTGGTGTATGGTTGGGCAGATTAAGATTACAATTCGCACACTGAAGAAACCTTAGACATGGGGAATAATGAACTCATTAATATAACAAACTCGTGCACTGAAAGCAATGATTTATGTTTGGTGTAGAGTGACTTGGATTAAATGATGCCTTTGCGCTATGTTTTTCTGGTAGCTTGAGGAACCACAGCGTTTCTTCAGATAAAATGACTTGATGAAATCATCCAGGGATCGCATGCATACATCACTGAGTCAAGTGTAATATTATTTCATTGTTGGTCTTTATGTCGCCATCAACTGGTACATGTGGTTTTGGTTGTAGGTCGCTGCACATGCATGGAGGATTTGGTGACAATACTACTGCAATACAGTTTTCAGTGGGCGAGGAACAAGCTGCAGTTAGCCCACTTGTGTTCTGTTCTTCACTCTTCCATCGCATATAGAAGGTAGCCGCCTTCCGAGACACACAAACACAATAATGACGTCACACAGCTGCAAATTGGAAGAATAGTGTTCAGTTTTCAATCTTCTCAAACGAATCTTAATGAGTTGGGAGTCTTAATCATTTTGTCCGAACTAGAATTCCTGACCGTGATCAAACATTTTTGTTGTTGTTGGACCGATTAACATACACAAACTAACCTTCCATAGAAAACATCGTTTAAAGCTAAAGCTTTAATGGAAAGGGGTTTTATATGGCTGCTATGTTGCTTCCCTCAGCATGACTATAGACGAAGAATGGCAGCAGCTTGGACGACTGGCGGTTTATTTGGTGGTAGTGATGATGTTGAGTGGTACATGGACTGTTGAAGATTCTTGCCCTGAGCAACCTGGATGTGTGAATCGGGAAGCAGCCAACGTCGGCCAGCTGGGTACACTGGACCCTAGCAGTGCCACTTGCTTTGCCTGCACCACTGGTGTACCACTCCCACACACCCATGAACATTGTAGGCACTATATTGCTGAAATCTAAATGTGAGTCGAAAATATTGTACGAAATGCATCATTGTTGGATCTTTAAAGCCATCTGAAAAGTCCCAAGTGCTGACTACTCCGTCCATTTCAAATTATAAGACATTTTATATTTTAACTTTTACTATGCACTTATATAAACTATGTCTAAATGCATATATAAAACTCATGAGCGACCTCCTTTTTATCTTCCACCACCAGCAGTCAACACAACCAAACAACGATAACTAACTCGAATAGACAGGGACCCTACCAACAAGCAAACAAGCGATGTGACAGGCAAACAACCAGTGGGACAGCGGAGAGAGCCGCCATGAGACGACCCGGAAGACTTTCGCCCTGGGTTGACAAGTCAACGACACCGTACGTACATGCTAATAATGTGATAAGACAACGCCTTTAGTTTGTTTCGCCACCCGTTCGGTGATGCAGGGCTTCACGCTACTGGTAACAAGAATATTGTGCTCCTACACTCTACTCAACCTAAGTTATTGTAATTAATCTGTGTGTGGCACGCACACTATGCAAAAAAAGATAACAGCAATATTAATTAATTTCTGTATCTTAAACCAAAGCACGTCACTGTAAATAATGGCCACTAGCTGCCTTCTGAACCTGCAATAGTCCGTCACTAAGCATAAGGCTGACTATTCAGTGGGTCATAACTTAACTCATAAGTGGAAGCCTTCAAGACACTCTTGGAAGAAGCCCAGATTTTCCGGTGTGCCAAACACCGTCAAAGAAGGGTCTTGCTATGATACTAATTTAATTAGATCGGATGGTTAATATCATCTATTATTTTCTAGGAGGTAAGAGTTAGAATATATATTTATTTAAATTTCAATTTTGGGAAATAGGATGGTAAATCTTTTTATTTTTTTGCAACTTTAGATATGACTTAATTTAGCGTACAACTTTACACGGTATATTCATGCATGACACTATAACAGAACATGCAATCACTGTTGGGATGGAATCCCTCATCACTGTTGGAATTCCGTCCGGCAGAGAATATTCTCCAGTGACAGGGTGGCCTACCAATGCTGGTTTTCTACCCGGACGTGATGAGTATCACTATTGGGTTCAAACATGAACCGGCAGTGGTTTTATGAGTGTCACTGTGCGGTCATGCTTTGAACTGGTAGGAACATTCATGATACCACTGCCTGTTAGTGCTTCAACCCGACAGTGATACTATCATATTATTGTCAGATCATTGCCATGTCCTTTGGTGATTTGTTGAGTGTCATTGTCAGCTCAATACCCACACCTACCAATTATTATTATAGCGCACCAAACAATTATACTGCAATGAAGAGAATTCTCATTGCCATCACATTTTCACAAGTTTCGATTTATGAATACATTAGAATTAGAAAATCATATATATACTCAACAGGTAGAGATGAAGTCATTACAAAACAAAGTCTCACTCGAACAAACTAAGAGAGCACAACCACCACTACTGGTCACCAAGTGCCCTGACAAAACCATCCCTAATGTTTATCCAAGCACATCATTTAAGTATATCAATGCATGAATCAGTGCAGTCTCTTTATCCTCACAAGTGAGAGCACACGGTCTACCATAGATGAACAAACTGGAGGCACTATAAATGGGCTAGGACCTAAAGCAAAATGCAAATAACCCTGCAATCCATGTGAGGTGGGCCTTGAACCCTGTATAGTACCAAGTAGGGACCTGAGTTTCTCCATGTCTTGAGATAGAATGGAGTGGAAGCTACACGCTGGGTGATTCGAATCATGATGTGGAACCTTCAAAAGAAATAAAATATGGGCACCAAACTTGTGTATATATAGTGTTGGCGCAAAAAATATGGCAATGCAACGATCTCAATGGAATAAGACCGGAGATCTGCTTGGCTTCAACATAGGACTAATCGATTCTGACGGCGTGCCAGTCAATTTGACCTGCAATTGATAAGGAAAGAAAATCTTATCATTAATTTAAGGTGGAACATGTCGGTGTTGCTCTAGACTGTTGCAAATACGCGGCTAAACAACCGATTCGATGGGGCTATCGACTAAATAGTCGATATCCAACACATCGACAAAGCAAGGATCATTGAATTGAGAATTATGTCTAAACCTTAGAACGACCATTTTCTACTAGGCTTGCATCATACAGATTAGCATTGCTTCTGATACACACCATATGTGAGTCCAGGAAGTCAAATCTCACATATAGCTATAAATAAGGGTATTATCATAAGACAATGCTTATTATATAACGTATTATTACAAGAGATATAATCTTAGGCGCAAAATGAAAAAGACACTCCGTTCTTCATCAGGCGAAGACTCCAATTCCATAGGGACAACTGACTAGTTGATCACAAACCTAACTTCTCCAGACTCTAGCAATCTGGTACGGGATTTTTCCAAATATTGAAAATAAACAAGCGTAAGTACATGTCGTACTCAACAATATAACGTGTGGTTCATGAGGCTCAAAAGACTTGACACAGGTTTAACAGCATATAGCTTTTAATTGTCATAATTTTAGCATAAGAGTAGCGACAAGTTGTCATAATTCCCAAAGTAAACACATGATGAAAGTAAACATGATGAATGAATAGCATAAACAAGTGATATATAGTGATCATGTATTCCATAAGGGTTCCAAGGCCACTCGTGACTGTGAGCACGACTATTATAACAATTTTACACTCTGCAGAGGTTGTACACTTTCACTGTGAGTCGTGATTACCCATACGCTTGGGGTCATGACTCACCAAAACACTACCAAGGTGAGCAAGCAGGGTACGCTATGAAGCCTTTCAATGGTTCATCTAACAAGTTAGGGCCGCTAGGTTTCTATACCCTGCAAATATAGGGCTCCCCTTCCCAATGGCACATTTCGCACAGGCTATACACACAAAGACAGTGGCCGTACTACACCCAACCAGAAACACACCCCATTTGCGCCATAAAGGTAACCTCTAACAAGTTAGAAAAGGTCCTTGTACTAAGCTAAAGCTAGAGCCATGTGGCCCTCACAGTTGTACAGTAAGTCCCGGATGATCACTTACAGATCAGTCTTTAGGGAGAGGAATCTAGAGCATTTAGAAAGTAGCTAAATACTCCAGCCCCTATTTCCATGTTGCTAAAAAGTCATGTTTTAACATTTATTGTATATTCCATTAGTCAAGTTACAAGATCATAGTTTAGTTGAGCACAAGCAATAGCTACCCAATGCATATACCCATAGGTGACAAGGAATCCAGGATATCAAATAGCTAGGAAAACCACTACGGTTGTCAAGGTAGACACATGCATATGATTAAGTTGTTAAAGTGAATAGGACAACAAGGACAATCCCATGTTATACTTGCCTTGATCAAAGCGTTTCTGCTAATCCTGCTCGTCAAAATAGTACCCTTGATCACTCACAAATTTCTCACCGTCTATACTCGATCATCACAGCAACATACAATCATCCAGGAGCAATCATGCATAGCAAAACAAAGCTATAGATTAAAACAGTACACCAACAACATAAAATCAAGATAAAAAGTTTGTAAAACGAATCTAACTCTTGCTATGAACACGCAGACGCGAAGATCACGAAAATCAGAGCTAAAACGAAGAAGTTATGGATTAAACAAGATTTCCTTTAATAAAATAATAGATTAAATCTAACTCTGATTTTCAAAAGTGGAAAACATGTATAACAGTAGGATGAACATGTAGAGTACGCAATTACGAACCTAACGCAAGTTGAGCGGGTCAAA